AGGACACTATCTTACATATTTTGATCTAATTCTTAAATAAAAAACTGGTGTCTCAAAGTCAAAGGGACATCCAACACATTTACACTCGTTATAGCAAAAATTGTTCGGAATAAGTTACGTCTCTTTGTATTATTTATGACAGTTCTCTCTCCTGCTGCCTTCTGTCTGTCTGTAAGAGATTACCAATACCATTGAGTGGATGATTCACACATTGTTGATTAGTTATACTCGTACATTGGTTTGTTATTGCTTGTTTGAGTTTATTGCTGTAAGTACCCATAAACAAATAAGTTATAAACAGGCTGCTATTAGGTTCATCATTTTACTCTTTTATTCTTTATATAACGATAATAGTAAACGAAGAGCACAGCCTGATGATGAACAGTTCCTCATCTTGAGAGCTGTGACTTTGTGTGCCATAATGTCAAGAAAATTCGATCGAAACGAAGGATTCTCCTTAGTTTTTCCTACGGACTAAATATATAATAAAGTTTATGGACATATATATGTATATATAAATATATAAAAAGATGAGATTAATAAAGTATTCTTTGACTGCAGTTTTCTGATGTTTTATTGTTATTAACAATGCGACAAAGCTCAAAGCAAAGCATTCCATTTATTTTATAGTGCACAGTAACCTAATAACGCTTGTGAGTTATCAACTTAAGTACTGTACAAAGACTGCTCGGATGAACAATCATTTTTATTTTCCTTCAATTTTCTACATAATGTTTTTTATTTTTACAGAAATATAAAACATCGCTAGTATTGTCGTCAAATACTATTTTAAAAGAGCACGTGATTTAAAGTAAGAATTTTAATATTTTTCATGTTGCGATCAAAGACACGGATTTAAAAAATGGAAGAATTATCCACCCTCATCCCTTCCTTATAAGGCTTTTAAGAAAACAACAGGTATCGCAAATACATAATTTTATTTGTGGGTTAGGTGTGATTTAATGTATTGTTTAGGTATCGGTTTGGGCTTTAATACTAAATTTAAATTTCGAGCTTCAAAGATTTCCTCACAACACAGAAACAACAAGCAGACGTGGCAGAACTTAACAAGATACATATAAAGTTGGTAAGCGCTAGGTGCGTGGGGAGGACGCTGGTGTGACGTCACAAATCTGTGATAATTTATGTTCTAATAGCTTAGTGCAGGAGACAATGACAAATGTTCTAGTTGGTAGGTACATCGTGAAGGAAAAAGACGCGAGTAAACAGTAAACACACACACACATATACTTACGCTTTTATCTCCGGAGCACTAGGCAGAGGGGTATTAACCCATATTTTGCCGACTATACTCTTTTAATCCTACTTTCTTAGTAGAGGGCTGATTTATGAATGAGATGGGAGAATTAAGACTATATGAAAAGGAAGCAGGAAATGTGATTTCCCTACCATTACCTTGCCTCGGATATTGCTTATTAAATGGATGAGCAGGGTCCCTTTAACTCGAACTGGCTGCTGCCGAAAGGCACGAGTCTTCTAACATATTTAGTAACTAGTTTCATTACTATGGAAGTATTTTTTAACTTTCACCATCTACTACACATTCAACACCTACATTCACAATTAATCATCACCATCTCAGCTGAAAGATGTCCACTGCTGGACATAGGCCTCCGTTCGCCTCAACAAACGGTCTTGTGCTGCCCGCATCCATCCCGCCGCTTGGCTTTATAATAAGTAATAACTAATTGTTACGTTGTGTCGAGCGTTGCCTTGGTTAGTTACCACGTTTTTTAAATTAGTTCAATTTATTCTAATTAATTGTAAATTGTAATTAATAATTAACACCTTTAGTAATATAAAGGAATTGAGTAAACTTATTTGATCAGATCCCAAGGTAGTAACGCGTAATATAATAACTAGACTGCTGATAAATATACCTACATATTATACGACTATTGTTTACAACCTACACTGCGACACAAAGCAAACTATCGTGGTCATCGTACAATCATTTGTCATGGGTGGGAATTGAACTCACGATGTTTGGTACGGCAGTCAAGATCACTACCGCTAAACCAATAGGCTTGTCAATTTTGACTACCATTTTGTTTGTGTATTGTTGAACTAGCTATGGTCAAAGGCTTCGCGTGACTGATTATTTCTTATTTGGTGTTTCTTACTTTGAAAATGACCGACTGTCATTTATTTATTTATTGGTTTATTACCAGTAATTATTACACAAAAACATTCGTAAAAAATAGAACATAGTATTGACCTTAATATAAGTGCATAACTTATGTAGGTAAACACCGCATGCGTATAATCTAATATGGCTTTAAAAAAAAAGAAAAAAAAAATACTACCTATTAACAAGGGTTGTGACAAAAGTAGAAAAATAAAAGGTTGTAGAACCTATAAACTAATATTACAGATAGGTACTATCTCCAAATAGAACAACAATTAGTACATAGCTAATCGACAGTAAGGTTGTGGACTCGGTTCTTAAATCGTTGAAATTTTGTGCCAAAAATATCTATCTGCTTACTGATTTGATTGTATTTCTTGCTTAGCCGTGAAATAGGCGAGTCATAGAACCGTTCATCCCGAATTTTACTTTTTTTTAAATCGGTCCAGCCGTTTTGAAGATTCCCCGGAACAAACAGACAGACAAAAAATATTTAGACTGGTTTTTAGGCATAGGTATTGTGCAAATAACCGTGTAAGCATAAAAAAAAACCTATTATTTTGACATTACAAACATCCACAGCCTTTACTAGTCCACTGCTGGACATAGGCCTCTCCTTAGAAAGGAGGTCACAAACATACATTTCAATTTCATTTATTTGTCTAGATAGATAATATAATTCAGAATATAGGAATAAGAAACGTGTTAAAACACTCTTTTCGCGTTTAACAAACAACACGCACGAGTTCCTCCATATAATGCGAACGAAACTTTAGCTCCAGTGGGAAGTCAGCGATGTCCCCGTCAAAGATTTATTGTCTAACTTTGCACCAAGCTTAGTGCGTTTCTTAAAAAGTAGTTTGAGATAAACCGCAGGTCTCAATTCCAGTGTTTATCACAGATACACTATATGTATTTTTGCTGAGATTATTATGTAAACCTTTAAACTTCTAATTTGGAGGTCATTCTAGCAGATGACAAGTGGTCTCTCTTAAACATCACTTACCAACTCAATTGATAAGGTAGTTTTTGGAAGGAAATTAAGTCCCAAAATAAGATTTGAGTCTTGGTATCATCGGAATAAAGTTAAAAATAGCTTTCAATTCATCAAAAATCATAAAATATTAAAATACTAGACGTTGTTGAAGTCAGGATTATAATCCTAATATAATTGTATTTCGTCAAATACCTGCGAAAACTTCAAGAGAATAATTGTTTCTTAAAGTTAAATTTCAAAGTGAAATTGACGCCTAGTTTCGTCAATATTAGGTGAATAATTGAATTGATAGAGTAAAATTAATAGATTAATCAATCTCCTAATTTAAATATCTGTGTTACTAAATTGGCTGAACGAAATTTAACTCTATTATCAGTTTCCAATATCGACGTAAGTTTCTACACATGAAGTCTATTCGATAGATTCTTTGTTCTTTTGTGTCCTTCGTGCCATTACCTCAACGGGGTAGTCGGTGGGATGACTAATGTTTACATTGTATTACATGCATAAATTAATGCTTAATATTGAAATACTCAAGTATGAGACAAATTAACTTACAATAAGTATTAATTTATATGACTGCACGGATGGCGTAGTGGTTTAAGCGGTCGCCACGCCGCTTACTACTACGCTGAGTGCTGTGGGTCCGATTTCCACATGGGACTACACTTTCTGTGAACCACAAATTGTTGTTCTGAGTCTGGGTGTTCTTAGTGTCCGTTTCATGTATGTTTGTTAAGTAACTCGCGACACAGGATATCCTTATTCCTAATGCAAGAGTAGTCTTTTAAAATAAAAGCAAATAAAATATTATTTGATTTCTATACAGCTCGTAAACATGATCTACATCTGCACTTTACATGATACCGACTCTTTTGTGTGTCGATAATAATTTACGTGCATTGTGAAAAAATAATTATTAATAGAAGAAATAAAACCTATCAATAATGCTAGGTTTGTAAAGTCCACCAATAGCTAATAATACAGTTAAACAGTAAAAGTAATTGAATTCCGTCAGCAGTGATACTGGTGCACCTAATAAACAGAATACCTAACGATTCTGAGAGATCAGCTTGTTCAATATTATACAAGACTTTACTTTACTTAAATTTAACAGATTTTAAAACTAGATTCAAGACTATTTACATGACTGTAGATATGTTGCTGGTGTCTCACTGCAGAGTAGCGCAGTATCTTGGGATCTACGTGTCTAAGATGAGTTCACACATAAACCTGAATAAACCAGCGCGAGCGTGGCGCAGTCTATTTATTTAGTGTCGATGTCAGGGGCTGCAGTCAGGTGTGGCGTAAACGTTGCCGTTTTGTGTCTTGTAAATACCTAAATAAAGTTTAATAATATATACTTTATATTTAAAGGATGTATTATGGGTACTACTAGCGGACCCGACAGACGTTGTCCTGTCAAATTTGACACTGCGATGGTAGCGCCGTCTGTCGGATCCAATGTAAAACATTCCAAAATCAACAACTACTAATAAATTAAAAATAAATTAAAAAAACATTGTCCAGCGGACAAAATTGTGAATCTAAACCATTCCCAGATCCCCTTGAACACACACCAAAAATTTCATCAAAATCGGTCCAGTCGTTTGAGAGAAGTTCAGTGACATACACACTCACAGAAGAATTATATATATAAAGATACATATTTCTGCTATCACCGGCATCATCATCAAGAATTATATATAAAATAGTTTATGATCTACGTAATTACGTATATATTCCTTCATAAAAGATAAGTCTAAGTCTAAAATTGTCCACCAAAGTTGTATATATTCTAGTACTGTCTTTTTGTAGTCAATTTTTAAGTCCTAATAGATAAAATCGTTTGTTTCAGTTTTTCGTTTCTTTTTTCTTAAATCGCTTAAGAACGTATTTTACTTCAGAATTCAACAAAAAGCTGTACTTAAACTTTTGACCACTATTACGAGAGAAGCGTTCATCAAAAATGTGTGCGTCCTCACCTCCGGCTGTGACGGTGGCTGGCCGTCCGCCTGAGACTGAATTATGTCCCCCATTCGTTAGACTGAGGTCGCCGCCGTGCGCCGCCACGACTGCTTGTGCAATTTCCACGTGAAACACCACATTATGCTGTAAGTTATCGATTTTGGGCCGATATTGCGCCATAACAATGATTTATCAATCTCGTTTACAGATACGGTACAAATGTCCTGATTTATTTGTGTGTAAAACTCACTGACCAAGTTAAATTGTATGTAAGGTTTTATAATTTTTACTTAAAGCAAATATTATTTCTCATAAAACTCAAATATATGACGCAATGCAAGTCGTAAGCATAGTTATTCGCAGTAAAGCACTAACGCGATATAATTTATGAATTCAGAATTTCCGTTATAAAATAACAAGAAGCCAGTTTTAATTAGCCTGGCCTCGCTAGCTTGACTTTTATTGTGCATTTTATTTTTAGTTTAATTCCCAACACAAGATATAATATTTCTAGCAAGACGCGAACTTTATTATTTGATTATGCAATACCTGTACATGAAGTGGCAGGTGCCCGTTGCTTGAGGGAAAGCTTTAATTAAATGCTTAATAGGTGCAAAGATAGTGTTGACTCTAAATGTAAGAGTAAGTACTTCTTTAGGAGTACTGTTATAGGATTGCCGCGTATAATGTGACAGATGTTGTACGATCGAGCGATTGTATCTGTGTGAACTAAACGAGCCCGTGTTGTGAGTTCAAATAGCGGCGCGGTGTTGTGGTTCACCGTCATCACTGAGAGTGGTTAACGCGTTGCTAATCAACTAATATTGTAATTAAATCCATTGTATATTGTTTTTTAAAAATGAATATTATTTTACATAAATTTATATCCTTTTATGTTTAATGTTGTGTATGATTCCCTTAACAAGCTTAGCCTTCAATTCGTTTAAAATATTATGACAAACTGTAATTTTTTTGTCCTCTGTACGTACAATATTTTCTTCAACATTATTTTTTTAAAGGCTTACTAGCAACCGAAATTACTAGTATTTCCGTTAACCCCTCCAGCTAAGCTAAATTAGGAGTGGGTTCACGTCGTAAGTGTACTGGTCAGAAATCGAACCCACGACCTCTTGATCGCAAGGCCAATGCCTTAACCACTAGGCTACCGTCGCTTTTTTTTAATTGACTTTAACCATGAAATCAAATGAACTAAAAAAGAATGATTGAAATCCGTTTAAAATTGAGTGAAAATATCGACAGATGACGCAGTAAGTTAAATTGATAACCTTCTCATTTTCAAGTTCTGTTAAAAATGAAAGCGGAAAATTTTAAAGTAATTGTTTCTAAAACTCTCATAATTTTTTTTTGATTAAATAATTGAAACCGTTGATAGCTATATAATAACATTTATATTATTTAGATTTAGAAGGGTTTATGTCTTTTATATTACTTGGCTTATAGCCAACGCAACGTGGCGTTAATTTAGAGCTGAAATTCGGATCTTTATGTGCTTACAACTTTTGAGTCACTTTTAGCGATGCTACTCTATACCGACCACATTTAACTTTAAAGAAGTCTATACGTATCTGTCCCTTAGGAACTTCAACCAAACTTAAACCACACACAAGATGTACACTTCTATATAGTTACAATTCACGTTGATTTACTGCATTTCGCGCAGCGCAGGTGAAATAATCATAAGGTTTTGCACTCCCTCTATTTCTCGTGAAACTTAGGATAATATTTTTTAATACTTTATGGAGCTACGGCGCAAATTCACTTTATGACTTCTGCAGTTTGCACGTCTAAATGTTAGTTGTGAATCCTGTTATATCTTTTACAAGTTTTGTAAGAGGGTTCTCAAACACGTCTGCATTGTCTTAATAACGACAGTGATCTGTGAGGTAGGTAGGTTTGCGAGGACGAGACGTTGGGATCATGACTGTCATGATGTAGATAGGACCTGATAATTTTTGTTTTAAATTACAATTATTATTATTTTTTATTCAAGTCAGATCATATAACCCGCCCCGCGTCGCTCCCGGTGCAAAGGTGTCCATGATACTGGCAGCATTGCCTCGCTGAATTGCAACGGACATCGTTTGCACCAGAAACGAGCCGGAGCGGGAGTCACCACTTTTATCCCTAACTCGGCGATCAATCTTTTTGTTTTAAACATTTTAATTTTATTGCTGTTAAATCGTTAACTTACTTTTAATGTGTGTGATTAAGATAACTTCCCTCTTCCTATTTAAAATATGTTCATTTGTCTTTTACTTGTTTGTAATTGTAAACAAACTTGAAAATAATACAATATATATGGTTGATTTTGATTTTAGCGCATTCAAGTCAATGTTACTTTTTAAAATAAATTATTACTATTTACTTGGATTTAATAACCCGTTTTATTATTATTATTAAATAATGCTTTATAGTCATATTTATGTAAATGAAAGTAGTTATAAACTAATCAAATAAATAAACTGATTTATTTCTCCTCTTCAAAGCTGAAAGTGTTAATTGAGAAACTCACCATATTATAGAGATTAAGAGTTGGTAGAGTTATAATACGCAACAGTGGATATAATTGTTCTCACCTCTAATAACAATTCTAAAATCGTATTCATATAATCTCATACAACCATGCCACAAGGCCAATAAGGCAGCCAACTTAGCCTACTGCTTAAGTTATCTAATTTACATCTTAAAGTGAAGCAACGTTGCGAACTTCTTCAAAATGTGTCATTTTAGCGTTAAACTTGGTATAGTAATAGAATGTTAAGAAGTTTTATAATAAAGGGTGAACAGTTATTCTACTGGAGCAGGTCTTACAGTAGTGTGGTAACTAAATGACAAGTGAATTAAATAAGCTAATAGATCTTTTCAGACACTTTTACGCGTCAATTTGTTCTTTAAAGCTAGATCTAGAGTGCCGGTATCTCTTGTCTATCCTGATTCTTGGGGAGGACTCATAAGGTGTCGATGGGCGGCGGTAATCACTTATTATCAGCAGTACTATTCTCTAGGGCAACAGCTTTGCGTTCAGTGCTGCCACAGCGTCGAACTTCGAACTAAGTTCGTTTGACATTCGACGCTACAATCCTGTAGGCGCAGAGTGGCACACCGTGTGGGTGGGGTTACGGTTGTTTTTACGAATGTAAACCCCTTACACTCGTAAAAAAAGGGGGTCGAATTTCAAACTAAGTTAGTTTGAAGTTCAACGCTCTAGCAGCGCTGGACGCAAGGCTGTTTCCTTAGAGAATACCATTGCAGGACGTGACCCGTATGCGCGTTTGCCCCTGTGATTAAATAATGGCTATTTTGTCATGATTAATGTAGACATACCAAATGCTTAGACAATAATTTCGAACGATTTGACTTATTTGTCTCGCCTGCTAATCACCGTATTGGTAAACCAACAAAACCTGCTATTAGTGATATTACATATATTTACTACAGCCCGCTTTTAGCGAAGGATTTATAGCTACGATACACATAATATATGTGCTCAGTAGTTTCATCCCATCTCGTATAATTATGTTTGTTTTTAAATGTTAGCGAACGCGCACATTAAAAGGTCGGCGCTAAATATTCATCATCCTGTCGCGGCCATGGATTAAAGAATTATTGGAGCGATGCTTCTTTTATGTGCAGACTACTGTTGATGATCTTGTAGACTATGAAGATTGGTTTAGTCAGTTATCTCAGTATATAAAGGAATAACAATACAACCCTTGCGGCTTGCCTCTGGAACATTCCACTACAACGTTGAACATATAGGTTTGATTCTACTCAGTGCAGGCAGTTGTATGTTCGAATGTATAGTGGTTGCATTGTTCTGGCTTAATGTGTAAGTAATTAATATGTGTGTTTCATACAAAATGTATCCAAGTATGTTTATTTGTGTTCCAGAACTATTCTAAAAAGCGCTGTGTGCTGTCATTACTATTCGCCTAGAAGACGAACTTTACTTACATGAGTTCATCAAAATATTAATAACCATGTAGGTACGAAAACATTTTTTAGTTTTTTACGGGCAATACTAATATTAATAGTTACTATTTTTTGCCCTTTTCCCGGGTTTGTCGGTTATCGAGGTAAAAAAGTAACCAATGTTACTCCCTGATAATGTAGCTTTCCATTGGTGAAATCGGTTTAAGTGGGCCAGGTGAAACGTAACAACCAAAAAAAATATGCAATTTATTAAACAAAATTACAAAAAAACAAATGAAAAATATTAAAAAAACTGAAAGTGAATCTGTTGATAAACAAAGAAGAAAAAGTGATTGGACTGTGTCGTCTTTGCCTAATTGATATGAAGACATCTATTTATTTGTCTTTAGATAATTAGTACGGTTTCTTGAAGGGGCTTGTGGCTAAGTGGGAACCGATTAAGTGAACACATTGCAAAATCTAGCCAGGCCAGTCTATGGATGGGTGACTATTCTTAATATAGTAATATCTCACATCTCACACACGGCCGTCTGATCCCAAACTAGGCAGAGCCTGTACTATGGTAATCAGACAACATATAAACATACTTAACACAGATAAACATACTTATATATTTCTAAATACATACATAATATAGATAGATTACACCCAGACATAGAACAAATAATCGTACTCATCACACAATTATTTGTCTTGGGTGGGAATCGAACCCACGACCTCCGGCTTAGCAGTCAGGGTCACTAAAAACTAGACCAACAGGCCCGTCAAACACATTGAGACCAATCCGAGACCTGGAGAGAACATTAGGCTGTCGGTCCCAATTGCCATACGAACATTTGTGGCAATCGTTACGAGTAGTATTTTGCAGTCCGTGTGGTGACGGATTAAGAATATGTATTGTCACCACCCCTGTTCATCCCGTGGGTGTCGTAAGAGACGACTAAGGGAGCAAACTACGCAGGATAACAGCACTGCAAAGAGAAGGAAAACTTGAAACAAACCCTATACCAACCCGTCTGGCCAGCGTGGTATAGTAGGCCAAAAATCCTTTCTAAGGAGAGGCCTATGTCCAGCAGTGGACTGTTAAAGGCTGTTATTGTATATTGTTATATTGTTACGAGTAGTTGGAGCCAAAAAAGTCTGACAACAGTCTTTCCACAGAACTTCGGATATCGCCTAGTACTTGGTTTGTGGAGGTCTAAAGGCAGTCACTCCGCGTAAAAAAT